ATAAAATTATTGATATGAACATGTTAGCATTAACAACCATAAAAATAATACCCGTCAAAAAATTTTTATTTTATCCTAAGAAAAGCCATAATATAATATCTTTAAGAATTTTAATTTGATGAGTTGAAAAAATAAAAGTAATTTATTTTTGATTTGTATATTAATATTTTATTTAAATTTAAATTTTATTGGATAAACTAAGAAATTAGATTATATATTAAATAAGTTATATTTAAATATAGTAAGAATATAATATTTTTAAGAATTTTAATTTTATTAGTTGAGAAAATAAAAGTGATTTAATTTTGACTGGTCATATTATATTATACAAGGTATAAATTAAATATGGTAAGAATATAATATGTTTAATTATTATGTTTATAAATATTTAATTTGATTGATTATAATTATTTATTACAAGTAACTTATTATGCAAAAAAATAATTTAATATTATTTATTAAGAAATATATTATAATTTTTATTGTTTGATATAAAGTAGAAAATAAAACCTATTAGAAATATATATAAAATATAAAATTATGATATGACATGTTACATTAACAAACCATATAATACGTCAAAAAATTTTTTTTTCCTAAAAAAAGCAATCACACAATTAATTATGTGCTCATAGAATTTAGCAAAAAAAAATTATCAATTTTTTACTGGAGAAAAATAACCAATTATTAAACGATGCTCTAAAATAATATTTAATATATTAATTATTATTATTATTATAATAGATAATATTGATTTTTCATATTTAATAATTTAGACAGTTTATTATATTATATTATATTATGTAAAAAATTTAAATTAATTAAATTTAATTTTTTATCATGAAATTTAAATTGGTTAATAGATAATTTTATTTTTATGAAAATTTGATTGTCAAATTATTATAAATATATTATTTTCTTAACAAATTATTTGATTTTTTATTTTATTATTTCATAAAATATATATATTTTTTCTATTTTGTGAATGCACTTAGATATTTAATGATATAAATTAGTAATAATATTATAATTTATAATGCTAATTTAAAAATTAAATATATAAATTGAATTACATTTACTCAGTAACGTTTAAAAATCAACGCTAAAAATAATATGCGACGTTGTTTGAAAAAAATAATAATAAATTAAAAATGGATTTGTGTACGAGATGCACATAGTTTTTAAGAAATTGACAATACAATCCCTAGAGTTGTTAATAGGCCGACATTGTTAGAAAGGTCAAGCTGAATACAATTTTTTCTCTTGAGCCCAATTAGGCCCAATTCAAGTAGGGATACGTTTGAAATGTGTCTTATTTTAAAATATTTATTTATTAGAATGCACAATGGATTAGAAGCATATTATATATTTTATAACATGGGTAATTTTCTTTTTCATTCAACAAATTAATTCGACACTTCTTACTCTCCATCTAATGAAAATATTAGATCACATGCAATTGGCAAAATATATTTTTTTATTACTAATAAGATAAATAAAAAAATGTGTTTATTTAATGTCAAAAATGAGACTATCTAAAAATAAGCGTTAAAAAATTACCTTATGCAAGTATAAAAAAAAAAGACCATATTAGACTTTTCATGTTATACTCCTCATAATTTAATTTTGCAAAGTGGCTTTTTATTTTTCTTTTCATGTTATACTCCTCTTAATGGACATAAATTATATTTTCTTTGCTCACCAAATTAGTGAAAACTCTGGTGTTCGAAAGGTCTCGTAATTATACATACTAAAATGACAAGAGGTCTATTACTAACTAAACATCTTTTAATGTAAAATGAGTTTCCATGAAAGCTATTTATATAAAATTATACTTTTCATATTTAACATAAATGAATTTTATCAAAATTATTATAATATAAATTTAAGATGATTAAAATCGATTGATTTTACAAATTAACCAATTAATCAATTTTATATTTTGTAGTAAAGCAACAAAAATAGCATTAGTATTTCATTTTAACTCGAAAAGGATATTCAACAATCATTTTTGAAGTAGATGCTTAATTGTGTTTTGTTGTCTAATTATCGCAAAATTACCATAGCACAGTGAATCACTCAAAGATTGTCATAATTACAAGGCCAACCACAGCATTGAAATGATTGCATGGCAATGCAATTTTCAAATTTTCAATGGAACGATATAATTTTGAATCTCATGACAAATGAGATGATAAAAGCAAGAAAAATATCTCCGCTAAAAATATATATAATCTTTTTTATTAGAAGAAAAGTGAAACGATATTTCATTATATATTTTTTTTACTGAAAAAATATTTTTTATTGAATGAATAAATAATTAACCAAACAAAGCTTACATAAATTTTTTTAAGGATTAAATTATATTTAAATTAATATTTAATCTATATTTTATCTCTATTGCATCCAAAAAAGTCAGCTCTTTTTATTCAAAAAACGTGTCTAATTAACGGTAAAGAATTATAATTAATCATTTCTTTCTCTCATTCAAAACCGTATATAAGATGTTTTGGATTAAATGATCTAACGGTGAAACGAAAGTATAAAATAAAAACATCATAGTTATTTTTTGAATATATTAAATAAAGAAAAATTTAAATATTAATGCAAATATAATTTAAAAATTCGGTTATATTTTAACCTTTCTTCAAACAATAGAGATAAAGTAATAATTTTGACTAAACCTCAAGAACTCAATATTAGTAATACTCATAACAAAAAAAAAAAACTTAATAGTAATTTGTCAAAAGAAAAGAGCAATGGAAGTGAATTTACGCGCAACGTTAGCGCGTGTGGAGAACAACTATTGAAATAATGGAAGAGCTTAACTTAACACACTGAAGCCACATGCGAAAGACCACGTGGTTAGGTTCCTATGGCAATCATAGCACCATTGACGAAAACACGTGGCACCTCCCCAGCCAATCAGAGAAGCAATCTGTCCATACACGCGGCAGGAGCACACTTCATGTAGCAGAAGATTGAGCATTGAACCATGTGAGAGAGTGGAAATGTCTTTTCTCTGCCTGTGCAGGGGTGTCTAATTTTGGAGCACAACCCATTTTTGCTTGCCATGTTTTGGTTATGTTTTCTAACTCTTGACATTGCTATTTATGTTTGATTTTTCATATTCATTATATAATAAAAAAAATTCAAAAATAATAAATTGATCCATGATTGTATAATATATTATGTGATCCATAAATTATAATCTTATTAATACTTTAGTTCTTCCATCCAATAAAAAGATTAAAGTGTTAAGTAACATCATAAAGTAATTATCAAAATATTAGCGACAATCATAAATTAGAGACTTAGTTGATAGTTTGGCTATGATTTAAAAAATAATATTTTAATCGATTGTCATTTAAAATATATTATTTTTGATTGAATGACGTGTTAAGGAAATCATAGATTATTGATTTTATAATTAGTTTGACAATAGAAGCTCCCACGTGTCAATTTGATTATAACGTAATAATCAATTTATTATTTTTCCATATAAATATTATGCATAAAAATTTTAATATATAAAACCAACCTAACTACCATCTCAATGAATTAAAACTACATTACAACATAAGTCAATCAAATGTACGTTATTATTTTTTTACTAGAGTAAAAAATAAACGTTTCAGGTTGGAGTTTTTTTAATCATACAAATTTTTGTTACTTTAACGAGGTAAAAAAAAGACTAGTTCTATTGTTCCACAAATTGAATATTTTGATTAATAAAATAATATTGCAAAATCAAGAGGCTCGTTCTAAATGTATAACTATGAATACATTGATTCGCTATTTTGGAAAAATGATCATATAATAACATTAATTTGGAAATTTCAACAAAAAAACGTTTATATGGCAATTTTATAAATAAAAAATGTTTATACGGCAATTTTATAAATAAAAATTTCAAATACGCATAATTGAATATTTGAAATATTTGATTTTATGCAACAAAAATGTGTAAAGAGCAAAGAACCACTTGATTATTTCTTATTCTATTATGATTCCTTTTGAGATTGAACTTAAAAAATATATATATTTATTATTAATAAATAATTTTACACCTTAATTTACTAAGAAAATCATAGGCACCTTTTATTTTTAGATTGATCATTAAACCCTTTACCATTTAACTATAAAAATAATACTCTGTCCATCTCAAATTTAAACCGCAAGTCACCAACAACTATATTATTCATCATTTTTATATGTTTCCTCTCATATTTATTTAACAATAAAATATAAAATATTCTATAATTTTAAATATTTTATAATCTCATAAATTAAACATTTTAATACTTTTTAATTAGTCTCCTATACAATAACAAAACAACAAAAAAATAAACTTCATATTTTTTCAAAAAAAAAAAAAAACTTGAAAATTTGTTTTAGTAAATTGTTTTCTGAAAATGAAAAGAGTTTATGATAAAGTCAACATTAATATTCCAATTTCAACAATCAAAATTTTTTTTTCTCCATATTGAAAATTTATTAAAATAATATGGTCATTTTATGGACTGTGTAATTTATAATATTTTATCGTAAAAATTTACTCACAATATCAATTTTTGTTTTTTCATTTCAATGATTAAAAAAAAAGAATAATTGATTTTACAGATGTAAGTGATTCGTCCATTTTTTTTTTTTTTGGTTACTATTTTTATTTTGGTATATTGTTTTCATTTATGTATATTCAGCAAATCCATTGAAAGAGAAATTAATGGAAAAAAATTCGCATAATTCCAGTCACACGTGTGTATTTTTTTTCTTTTAATTTTGTTAGACTAATTAGTAACTACACGTGCTGGGAAGATTTTTTCGTTTCTGTTCCCTTATCCGACGTGGCATGGATAAACATAAGAGTAATATTCATCTACGATCACTTTTCAGTGTAATCATATACCCTCACCTAAAAGAAGCTATCTATACACTTATGACAAAATCACCCTTAACATGATCTCAAAAGTACAACTTCGTATAGCAGCAAAACTCTTCAATTACAAATAGAACTAGCCGCAGGTGAACTCAGCCCATTCGACCTGTCCACTATAAATAAAGAAGATATTTTCAATTCAGATCTCACTCAGCTCTTAAACCCTAGCCGCTTCCTCCAGGTTTCTTCAGGTTTACGTCTCAAAGGTATTATCGTTCTTTAAACCCTAGTTCTTTGATTCTTTAGCTTTGTTTGTCTGTTTACTTGGATTGCGATTGTTATTGTTGGATTGATATATACATATATGTATTTGGGATTTGGAGTGCTAATATTTGTGCTTTTTTTCGATGATATCATGAAAAATCAGTAACAAAAATGGCTTTCTGTAACAAACTTGGGAGCCTGGTGAGACAAAGTATCTCTCAGAATGGGCAAGTTCCAGTGAATTCAATGCTGAATTCTATTCGGTGCATGTCGTCTTCCAAACTTTTCATAGGAGGTATTGATAATTATAGTCAAAAGACTTGTTTACTTATATATACTGTATGTTAGCGCTCTGTGTTTGGCTTTGATGTTTAATCTTTTGTTTTGTGCATTTAGGCCTTTCATATGGAACTGATGACCAGTCTCTGAGAGATGCCTTTTCTAGTTTCGGTGAAGTCGTTACTGGTAAGTATTGACATGTATCATGGCTGTCTTTTTGGTGATAGCAGGATTTTGTTTATGTAAGTTTTGTAATTTGAGGTTTCGTTCATGATTATATGGTTTTGTCTTAATCTTGCTGAAACCGTTTATCAAATTTGAAAAGTTTAACTGAGCCTTTGATTTGTTTCATCTGTGTTTTCCAATATGTGAATTGCTGAAAGTTTTGCATTGATTTGAAAAATGATGTAAGGCACAAAGTTTGTCTTTTAAGAATATTTCTAACGGAGATCTAAGTCTAGTGGGTTGAGTTGGTGGTGGTTGCTTGGGTTGGAACATGAATCGAATGAGAATTGATAGGATGACGGTGGTCTGCATGATAAGATTGGTAAAGAAAATTAGTCGTAAGGAGATACTGAATAGAAATTTGCAAAGTGGTTTTGCTACAGTTAAATTCATTTTCAGATTCAAAATAGAAATTGCAAATTGGAATTTGTCGTATTCATACTTTGTGTCAATGAAAATATTAATTTTAATCCCATAAATTTAATTTTATGGAATTCTCGTAACATGATAAATCTATTCTTTGCGAATGAGTTATTCACTTCAAATTCATTGGTAAATAAATTACTTGTCTTGTCTTATAAGCTCCATCTTAATCTATCTGCTTAGTAAATTATTTTATTGGCATCATTATCTTTACTTTGTTATAAGCCAATTCTAATACATATTAAACAAAAAAAAGATGAAATTTGAGGGTCATGTATACACGTTTATGTTTTTTGTTCTGGTGCCCAGCAAGAGTTGTCACTGATAGAGATACTGGGAGGTCAAGGGGATTTGGGTTTGTTGACTTCTCCAGCGAGGAGTCTGCTAGCTCGGCCTTATCAGCCATGGATGGCCAGGTTAGAAATAAAATGTTTGTTAGAAATCAAAATATTTGAGCATACTTCTCATTTGAGTTATATTTTGATTTTTGTATGCTATTACTTTTTTCAGGAATTACAAGGACGAAGTGTTCGCGTCAGTTATGCTCAGGAAAGAACTGGTCCTCCAAGAAATAATTATAGTAATTTTCGTGGGAATGGAAATTTTAACAATGAAGGCTTCTAAGCGGTTATCCCAATCTATGGGCTTGTTTCTATAGCTAGTTGTTAGTTGTTTGGAACGAATGGGCATTTATTTGATTATGATCGATACTAAACAACTTTTGTATTTTGTTTCAACTTATGTGCTGGTTATTACCTATAATATATTTGCTGGGTAAGTTAAATGTGCAGGTGTTTTTTGTTTTTTGCTTGCATTTTGTTTTGCTACCAAGGCAAATTGATTAAATTGTTTACTGCAGGGTATTTGCATGTGTTCTTGCAAAATATGGTAAAGGCGGGTAGGGAGATTGTTTTTGCATCGTTGATCGTATGAGCTTTACTTTTTGCAATTATATGCTATCCATTTTCTTTGTTACTTGCTCTTCATCAAGACAAGCTGAGCCTTATATATGAGTTTGTATTCCAACCCATCAACATCATATCAGTGGTTAAGCCTAAACGTTTTTTGCTTATGAGCATAATGTCTTTTTTATGAAAACTATCTAATGGCCTTGTCTGTTGCCTGAGGCTGTGTAACGGTGAAGTGGAATTGCATTTCACAAACTGTAGTAGAAAGTCTTGTCTCAGTTAATTATGTTCTTGTTTTTTTGTTTTGTTTTTCGGGTTATAAATAAATTTGATTTTGTATGAGCTATTTCTTTGTTGAAAAAAGGGCTGAGGCCTAAACATTTGTTCTTCTGAGCCAAGGCCTTTTACCATCAAGTCTTCTTTTTAGTGGTGTATTGCTTCGGATTTCTGATAGGCCCTTTTTATTTTTGAATTTTTCTTCTCGTCATTGTTTTCTTTTCCATTTTCAATGTAAATTTGGTTTTGCATGAGCTGCAAAATGAGTTTGTCTGTGATTAGATTTTGAGCAGATGATGAAAATGAGTTCCCTTTCTTATAAACCATGAATTAGTCCGATGTGGATTTAGGCCCACGTATGTTACTTGGCTTTATAGAGAACTCGATAAATGGCACGAGGCCCATATATGTTAACTTTTTCGATCTCTGATAATTTTGCAATTGATCTGAAAAATAACGGAATTTTTATTTTTGATATTTTATTTTATATACATTTTGAGAAATATAATCTCATTTTATGTAATTTGTTTTAATTGGTTACTCTACAATTGTGCTGTGAACTCCTCTAAAACAAAAATCCTCTGAATCTTGTTTAGAAAATTAATGGGATTATGAGAAATTTCATTTAGTTGTTCAGATTCTGCTGATCCCAAAACATCAATAACTTTTTAAGCTAAATAGATAGATGGGGTGAAATAGGTTTAGAATGGGAAGTGTGCCGTTTGAAAATCTCTTAGGTAAAAGTGAAAGTCCAGGTTTATGTATGAACAAAGCACAATGGAGGGCCGTCCATAAAATGTCAATTCAGTAAAATTTTTAGATAAGAAGTTTAACATTAACTAAGATTCATGTGTATTCTTTCCTTTTCATTTTAAATTTTTAAAGTTTGATGAAATTCTTTGAAACCCATCATTCAAACAGTGTCTAAAGAATCAATAATTTAGAGTTTATATACGCGTAAAGACAAAAAAAAAAAAAAAAAAAAAAAATTATGTAATTTGGTATTAATTGGTTACTCTACAATTGTTGCTAGTGACTCCTCTAAACAAAAAAATCCTCTGAATCTGTTTAGAAAATTAATGGGATTTCCATGCAGAAATTTCATTTAGTTTGTATCGATCCTGCTGACCCAAAACATCAATAAACTTTTTTAAGCTAAATAGATAGATGGGGTGAATTAGGAGTTTAGAAATGGGAAAGATAGTGCACGTATGAAAATAACTTCTTAGGTAATAAAAGGGAAGTCGCAGAGATTATTTATGTATGGAGAGAGAAAGGTCACAATGGAGGGAGAGCCACGTCCATAAACATGTCAATTCCAATAAAAATTTTTGTAAGATAAGAAGTTTAACATTAACTAGCATTTCAGTGTGTATAGCTTCACTTTATCAATTATTAAATTTTTAAAAGTTTGATGAAATTTCTTTGAAACCCCATCAATTTCACCACACCTTCATTATAATGTAGATCTAAAGAGATCAAGAGTAGAGTTGTATATACGCGTAAAGGACAAAAAAAAAAGAAAAAAAAAAAACTCAAAAAAAAAAAAAAAAAAAAAACTCAACTTTGATCTTTTTATCAATTCTAACTGTTCTTTTAATTTTATCAATCAATACTGCATATTTAGTTTTCTGTATTAATTCTACCCTTTTTAATGTGGTAGTTATCTCTCACAAGTAGGCTTTATATATCCACATATATTTAAAAAAAAACTTGAACTTTAAGGTTTTTATTAAATATGATAAGTTCTTTAATTTTATCGGTCAACATCTCGTGTTAGTTAATCTCTATCAAATGATTTGGTTACATTGATATTTATTCAATTAAATAGTTTATTAATTAATCATGCATATTAAGTGTCTAATGGGATTAATCAATTAGAATTCAATTTTACTGCAAAGTCTTTTCTAAAAATATTATTTTTAAACTATTTAAAAATGATGTCAATTAGCATATTTAAAAATAACATCTTAAAAAAACTCTTCAGTGAAATTGAATTTTAATTGATTAATCCCATCATACACTTAATATATATAGTTAATTACTAAATTATTTAATTAAATATATCAATATAATCATTTGATAGAAATTAATTAGTATGCGGTATTGATTGATAAAATTAAATGAACTGGCTAGATTTAAAAATACTGACATTGGATGTTGTAACGCCCATTTGTGAGAGATAACTGTTATATTAGTATAAAATTGACAGAAAACAAACGAAGACTAAAATTGATACAGAAAATTAAGTACGTAGTATGGATCGATAAAATTTAAAAAACTGGCTAAAATCGATAAAAATGTGAAAGTTCATGTTTTTTTTTTTTTCTTTTTTTTTTTTTTTTTTTGAAATGTATAATGGTTTTTTTTTTTTTTTCTTTTTCTATTACTTTTCTTTTATTTAATTTTTTTTTTTTTTTTTTTTTTTTTTTTTTTGTGGTTAGGCCTTTTATGAAAGGATAAAATCTTAAATCAATTTACAGCTTTAAAAGGAAGCAACTTGTAGATACTAACAGACTGGAAGTCACAAAACATATTCTTTGGTATTTAACAACCATTTATTATTCCATAGATTCCTTTTGAAACTTGCAAAGTCAAGGGTTGGACACTATCCAGCTAAGACATTTTCAGATTTATATATGCAAATGTAATTTCTTTCAACTTTCAACACTGTCTTCTGACTTTTTGCCCTCTTACTGTTAGGCTGTTAGAAGAAGGTCAAGCATTCTTTTCAATGTTTGGTGCAACTTTAACAAAAAAAAAAAAAAAAAAAAAAAAACTTTAACAAAAAAAAAAAAAAAAAAAGCCAAAAATAAATAAATCTTTTGGATATTATCCTCATCAACTCACTTAAATTCTTATGCTTAAACCAATAGTGATATTTTTTATCAACATATTAGCAAATTCCATGACCCACAGAATTTTGATATTTCCTCTTATAATATTTAAGATTTTAAAGACTTGCATTATGTTAGACCATTGGAAGTAATAACATAATGTATATTTGGTAGTTGTCTTAAAAAATATATACTGCTATGTTGTTTATAATTACATCTAAGCATTTCTTGAATAGATCACAAAAAAAAAAAAAAAAAAAAAACAAAAATAAATAAATCTTTTGGATATTATCCTCTTCAACTCTAAAATTCTTATGCTTAAAAAAATAGGTGATATTTTTTATACTTTAGCCAATCCATGCGATTTGATATTTCCTTTATAATATTTAAGATTTAAGACTTGCTTATGTTGACCATTGGAAGTCAATAACATAATGTATATTTGGTAGTTGTCTTAAAATATATATGCTATTGTTGTTTATAATTAATCTAAGCATGTGTCACATGTAAAAATTTTAATTTATGATTTGTTATCTCAAATATAGGAATTATGAAATTCCAACATTGAGATTTAAAAATAATATATTCCTTTTCCTCTTTCTGTGCATAGCTAAGGAGGCCAAACAAGAGTAGAAAATATAGTAAATCTTAATTCTGAAGGCATACAGTTAAAACAGTTGGTTCAATAAATATTTGAATGTTGTTTGTTGGATTTGTAATTAAAACATGTAATAATGGTTTTCAAACATTTGTTATCTTTCCTAACTGGAATGAGAGTGCATTAGGAATTATCCAAATAAAGAAGAATGCGAATCTCTTTGTGGGTATGCACGACGAAGATCTGGACTAATCGAGTCAATAAATTTTAAACGCGGAATGATTATAAAGTGGCTTTCAAGAAAAAAGAAAAGAAAGAAAAAAACAAAACGCTATCTGAAAATCTCTATGTGATAATATTAAAGAGGAAAAAAAAAAGGGAAGAAACATCAGAATCATGAAGTTAAGAAGTGAGGACAAAATGCAGGGAAAAAGTTTTTGCTGAAAATTTCATCATTCGTTTAAAGGCATTTGCTCGCAGAAACTTCTATCACCTATCAAACTTTTTTGGTTGAGATATTTTCTTTTAAACAATATTATTCTAAATTTAAATTGGGTTTATGATTCTTATTTCTTTTCCAATTTTTTCTTTTAAAAATTATTCCTTAAAATGTTAACAATTTTCAATTTTTAACTAAAAATTAATAAATACATGTACCATAATAAAATGAAATTCGAATTACTTAGAAAAAGAAAAAAAAAGAAAAAGAAAACCCTCATCTCTCAAGAGGTTGGTCTTAGAGATGATGGACAAAATAACTACATTTCTTACCATGAAAAAGGTTCTAATTTTCAATAATAATTCCATTTTCAATTACATATTGTCACCAATATTATTATTTTTTCTTTCTTTTTATAATCTAAATGATGATTAAATAGCATGATTAAAGAATTTGCTTCTCTTTCTTCATGAGACCCACTTTGACATTTAAGTTTCTTAAAGTATTTTCCCCTCTATTTCTTTTAAATGATTGACATAGAAAGGCCGAAGCTACTACATGAAAGTGAAAGCATCTCTTTTTTTTTTTTAAAAAAAAGAAAGAAATTGTCATATCCCATTGATTTTTAGGGTTTGAAATTGAATCTCTAGGTATAATTCTGATAATTATTTTCATTTAAGAAAAATTATTAATGGTAATATGGGATTAATATTAGAAAATATAGAATAAAAAGAATTCATATAATCAACTACTCCGTTATTAAAAAAAAAAAAAAAGGCAATAAAAGAAAATAAAATCAAGAAAGAAAGAGAATCTTGATGTAATCATTGTTGATCAATCACAAATTTCTTTAAATATGAATCTAATGGTTGAGATCTGCATCCTTTTTAGGAGACCCCACCAAACTATTACATCCCAATGAACTTCACAGATCTACAACTTCTCCTTCCTTCTTCCTTCATTCCTCTTTTTTTTTTTCTTTTAAATTTTTTATTCACATTTAATTTATCTTCTCTTCTTCTGTATTAAATCTAATATCTATAATAATTCTACATAATCAACAACGAACAGCAAAAACAACAAAAAAAAAAAAGAAATTATAAATTAATCTAAAATATTTTTTTAAATTAAAAAAGAAAAAAGAAAAAAGAAAAAAGAAAACCAACCAACCAACCATGTCGTAGTGGCAATGGAGATGATGATGATGATTGATGATAAAGCTCCCTCAATCCTCGAGATGCTCACTATTGTTTATCTCATTTTCCTTTTTTACCCTTGTTTGAATCCCATAATAACTGACATACCATTTAACAAACTTCCTCAATCCACTGCTCAAATCTGTAGTTGGCTTATACCCAAAATCCTTATAAGCCAAACTCACATTAGCGTGCGTGTAAGGCACGTCCCCATTTCTTGGCATCTTTATTATATGTTTCTTTGCCTTGGTGTTCAACAAAGATTCTAATATGGCCACCAATTTCCCAACAGGAACTGGCGAAGTATTTCCAAGATTATATACTCTTAACTGAGCCGGTCCTTTCTTTTTACCACCGCTGCCGGTGCTTTTCTCCGCCGTATCCAATGCGCCAACACATCCTTTCACTATATCATCGATGTACGTGAAGTCACGCGCCACCTGCTTCTCATCCTGCGTTTGGTATACATCTATAGGTTTTCCGTGTAAAATATCTTTAGTAAAAAAGAAATACGCCATGTCCGGTCTACCCCAAGGACCGTAGACAGTAAAAAAGCGTAAACCGGTAAGTGAAAGACCGTAAATATGGTTATATGTATGGGCAATTTCTTCTCCGGCTTTTTTTGTGGCCGCGTAGAGACTTGCTGGTTGATCTGTTCGGTCGGATTCGGAGAAAGGAACTTGTGTATTTAATCCATAGACAGAGCTTGAAGAAGCCCAAACAATGGCGGGTTGAGGATTTGCGGCCTTTGCTATTTCTAGTAAATTAACAAAACCTGCAATGTTTGAGCTGACGTAAGACTGTGGATTTTGCATGGCGTAGCGAACTCCAGCTTGTGCTGCTAAATGGAGTACATGAGTAAAAGGCACAACGTCGAAAAGCTTAGATAACAATGGCGAATCATTTATATCTCCTTCAATGATAAAAACCTGATGCTTGCTTAAAAGCTTCTGTCTCGCTCTCTTTAACGACGGATCGTAATAGTCGTTGAAATTATCTATGCCGAGAACTCCATCGCCTCGCTTTTTTAACGCAAGCGAACAGTGCGATCCGACAAATCCTGCTGCTCCGGTGACCAGAACGGAGAATCCATTAGGCCGACGAGGTGTGGCAGAGTGGCGGACTTGTTTTTCCCAAGCAGAGCCACCGACGGAGGAGGAACGAGCGAAAAAAGCAGTGGAGAGGAAGTTGTGGTGGTGGATGTGATGGTTTTGATGGTGAGGGTTATCGGAAAGTGGAGGGTAGTTGATAGTGAAGAAAAGAATAAGAACAAGAGCAATAAGTAAAGTGGCACGAAAGAGAAGCTTAGAGGAGGCGTTAAGGACTTTAGTACTGTGAATACGGCGGAGATAACTGTTGTATCTTTCTAGTTTGATGGTTTTGCTGGTGTCTGGTGGAGAAGCCATTGCTGTTAATGAGATCGTAGAACAATGGAGCAATGGAATTATCTTATTATCTTCTTGCTTGTTGTTTTAATGGAAAAAAAAAATGTTGAAGGGCTCAAAATCATGTGTTGAAAGAAAGGAAAGAGATGAGAGCTGAATCGAAGTTAAGCCCTGAAATTAAGAGGTGGAGATGGAAGATTATAAAAGAAATGAAAGAGAGGGAGAGAGAGAGAGAGAAGAAGTGAGGTTGGTGTTGGTTGGAGACCACTTTGTTTTTATTTTATTTATAAAAATATACATTAATTAATTTAATATAAATTACCAGTCAAGGTAATGTAAATTCAACTAATTTAGACTATGTTGGACAAAATTACTTCTTTTAAAAAACCTAATCTAGTACTAATTGCATAATTAAAATATTTTATAATTCGGTCTATCAAATTCTAAATATTATGTAATTGTAGACAATATATACTTTTTTAATTTCAATATTAAAAAAAAAATTTGACAACGTTTTGAACCTAGTTAAGACGCTAAACACTGATTTAAAAATTATTTGAAATTGTATATAAATTAGTTTATAATATCTAAACTATTTAATATAAAAAGGTAAAAATATAAAATTTAAATTATAGTATTCATCTTAGGACACTTGTATCTTTTTCTTTGTAGAAGGACACTTATAATTGTTATAATTAAAGTTAAAAAAATTATTAATCTTTGACAAATTCTACTTTTTTGTATTTATGTAAAATCAAATTCACTTTGTTTTAAATAATAAATATTTGGTTTTTCAATTTATTAATAATGTTAATAAATCTTAACATAAGCAAACTTTATTAGTATATTAAATGTTTTATTCATATCATAATTAATTTGCTTTTTTTATTTGCATAAAGAATTTACATTATGATCACCTCCAATCTCTAGTAAAATGCAATATTATTAATTATAAATGGAAAATGCCAGCTATCTTCTTCTATAGAAATCTCAATCCCATGTGATTTCCACGTGCTAAGATGTGAACACCCTCTCTTGTATACCTAATGTCTTTTTCTTGCTTTGCTCAAGATTTTACATTAGTAGCAGAGCAGAACGGATTAACAGAGTTGACAAAACCGTTAGCTTTAATTAGCAGTTAATAGTGTTGGTCAGCTGGGTTTCCTCATCATAGACCAAATTATTTAATTATAGACAATTTTGAAATGTAAATTACTAATTAAAATCCACGTGGATGCTCTAATTAAGTGATTACATAATTATCATTAATTATTATTAATCACCGACAGATGGTTTGTATTAATTACAAAAGCTTCAAAGTTGCTGCAAGTAATTAAAAATAGTCGGTGATCTTACCTTGGGAAATTTTATAACTAAAGGGTCATAAAATTATAATCAACTGAAATTAGAATGAAAAAAAAAAAAATTTTGAGAGGGACTGAAATGTAATTTGATTAAGTAGTTATTAATGTTTGAATCTAAGAAATTTACAAAATGAATTTTATTTTATTTTATTTTTTATTTTAGCTAATAACCAAAATGTAACTATTTAATTAATTGGATAAGGATGATGATTTAATAGTTATACCAAAGAGTTCCTATAGTTTAATCCCTTGTAGCCAGAAGGTCAAACATTTTTGTTGACTAAACCAAAATTGCATCCATCATCATTGAAATTATTAATATTAATATTATTTTATTTTATTAATATATTATTAATATATTATTTTTAGATATTCATTTACTAAAAATAATTTATATAATTATAAATTTTATTACGATAAGTATTTTTTATATTTTCAATATATCATGTTATCTTATTTTTGAGTTCGTTGTTATCTTTTTTTATGAATATTTTTTTCACGGATTAAATCTCTAATTTTATACAAATCGTTATTTGAATTCAAAAGTTGACTCGAGCCACACTTCATGAGTATGATAATATTATTGATATATATACTAAAATAAATATTGTTATCATTAACATATTTCATTTATTTTGATATAATTTTTAAAATTTAATGATTGATAAGTAATAAGTTTATAATGGAAAAACTTTTAATTAAATGGAATTAGATTTTAAATCCCTGAATTAATTGAAACGACAAGCTTTTGATTCCATTATGCCATCCCTATCACCCAATAAGACATGAATTTGTATGTGTAATTAACAGTAATAATTAATAAATTTTATGCAAATTGTTAATTCAATATTACATAAGAAAAAATTTACTATTAAACTATAATTTTTTAAAAAAATATACAGAAATTTATCCCTACTCTTAGATTAAGATTTTTTTTTTTTTTGAAAGGATACTCTTAGGTTAAGATTAAGATAACTAAATCCAATTTGAAAAATATAATTTTTCAAGTTTTGGATAAGTTTAGCGGTGGGAATTGGGATTAACTATAACAATTAGTAACCAATTAATGCACAGAAGATAAAATCAATCCAAAATTCAAAATAAGGAGAGACGATGGCGGTGGTGATGACAGGTAGGTCCCAAAGAAATCGGACGCACACGGCGGTCCTAATCAGCAATCAAACGCGTAGCGGGGTGGCGGTGCGAAGTTTCACTCGTAGGGCATGCACCTTTTATTTTCAGTCTATACATTATATCATTCCTTCATAAGAGGTGAGAGATCGGCGGTCTCTTTATCATCAAATGGGAAAAAAAAAAAAATATCGGAGAACCATATATTTAATACCTTCATGGATAGTCCCGAAGCCAGAAATAAGAATTAGGGAATTAAAAAAAAATTCAATAATTAAAGGACAAAATTTTTTTTAAAATTATTATTTTAGAAATGAAATTTTGAATTTTTTTTAATTAAGACTATAGTTGTAATTAATAATATTATTTCAGTTTATTAATCTTTTAACAAATTTAAAAAAATAAGAAAAATTCAAATCTTTATATTGAGACTAATGGCTATAAATAAGAAAAACGTTTTTTTTAGTTGCGTATACAATTTTTTTTTTCAAATATTTATATTAAATAAATTTTTATAAACATTATATTTCAGTTGAAAATAAAATTTTCACATTTTAAAAATCCAAAAAAATAGTATAGATGTACTATGATTTTTAATCAAGGATTCACATTCTTGTCCAGTGGACTTTGAACTATGTACTAATGAATTAATTTGTGGTGTCCCAATGGAATGAAATGAGTCATCTCTTTCCCATTGCTTTATGAGTTGAATCGAACCAGGTTTTAATTTTCTTTTTGACCCAAATTCAATGGTTGTTATATTTATGGACAAATCAAAAACATGCAATGGGGTTGGGATTTGAGAGACTTTTCTTGCATGAGATTTGTGGTTTGCATTTCTGCCACTAGTTATGTACGTTATGCAACGGTAGGGCTTTGGAAAATAGCCTCTTTCTCTCTCTTCCTCTTATTACGAGAGATTTAAGAGACTTATAACAATTTCGCGAATTAATGTATCTTAACTCATCAAATTGATGAAAACTCTTATAATTCAAATGACTTAAAACTTCTCACTCTTTACTTAAAAATCAATAATACAATGTTATTCAGGTGTGATTTGATTGGTCTTTTTACTTATATAAAGAGTGAAATATCTGAGATTTCTTGGTGACAGATGTTTTTACCAATTTTATGAATCTAAGGGAGAACTAACTCATATATGAGGAACAAGCCTACGCAGAAGTTATGGTTTTGAAAAGATAAAGACCCCTTGTTTTCCCTATTCAATTGAAGCATAGTATTTATTAATTTGGTGATCCTAATTTGATTCCTTCAATCGGATAAAATCAACTACCTTAATTATTAACAAGCCTTTCTCAATTAACTGTCCCTTTTAGTACTCAACTCAAAGGATACGTTAGAAATATTACATACTATAATGGTATTAATCAAGTACAAATTGACATGATGCAATTATCAATTAAAAAATATCTATAAGAAGTCCAATTGCCTTTTAATAAATTGACTTTTTTTTTTTGCCGATCAGGTACTAGTTCGATTGATATTATTTTTACTTATGAAGAATGAGAGGTCTTGAGTTCGAGGTCTCTTGACCATATTTGTTTTTACAAAATTTGGAAACTAATAAAAAAAAAAAAGAAGCTAATTTCGACTCATAAAAGCTTTTTATGAATTAAAAAAATAAAATTTATTTTCTTAATTGATTAATTCTAACCTTAACCATGAATTACCAAATTGAGGGGTGAAAAATATAATTATATATCTTATTTGAGATGTAGACGTGTATGTCAAGGTGAAGAAGTCATGTTCAAATCCCATCCATTGGTAAAGACAGACGAAAGGGACATCTCTCTCTCTCTCTCTCTCTCTCTCTAAATTCTTGTTTTCTTTCTCTCTCTAAATTGTCGGCAGCCTACTTTTGATGAGAACCTTCCATATATATCATCATTTTTTTAAAGTAATAATTAATCTCCTAACCAATAAGTGCTCATAGTTGCATATGTATTTACTCAATTATTTTTATTAAATTCTTTTAATATTAATAATAAATAAATATTAAAAATTTCTAATCGATGCTAGAACAAACTAAAATTATCAGTATTTATAAGTCATAATAATTATTTAAACATATAAACGCAATTAAGCATAATTTTTTAATTTGATATTTAAATATTTAATATCTCTACCAAAATTTTATTAGATATGTAATATATCATTTTAGCAGCTATTAATTATTATGTCATCATATTATTTATTTATTTTTATTATGCCAAAATGAATAGAAACTTAATGTATAGACGGCTGGGTTAACCCTTTTCTTTTCTTTTTCTCTCAAAGAAGAATAAAGCTCATGGAACTATTTTCACTTTATAGATTTAATTCTGTTTTTTCTTGCCCAAAATCAAACCATTAATTCACTTTAATAAGAAAAAGAAAATTATATAATAATAGATAACATGATTTTTTTTTTTTTGAAAATTGATTGTGATTTTAAATTGGTTTGACATTTCAATTAGTTAACATTTAATTTTAATAATCAAAATAATAAAATGGCATGCATTGTGCAACTTCTAAGTACTAATTACAAGTTGTGGGTCGCATTTTCATAGTTCCATTATATAAGTATACATAACTACATGTTTTTTTTTTTTTTTTTTTAACTACATGTTTTTTTTTTTTTTTTTTTTTTTTTTTTTTTTTTATATATATATAATTTCCTAAAAACATTTAGCAATACATATGTTGACCTTTTTCTCAAAGTTATTTTTTTTAACAAATAATAGATTTGATCAC